AGGCCACTGAGAGGGGCCGCGCACGGGGGGTCCCTGCCCCGGGGCCACTGCCCGGGGGCCGCCGGCCAAGGGAAGCTCCGCGGCGCTCCCGGCCCCGCCCGCTCCCACCCAAACCCCACCGACCGCCCTCTTCGCCCCGCCCTGACCAATCCCCGCCTCGCCACGCCCACTCCGCGTCCTCCCATTGGCCGTGCACGCTAAGCCGTGGGGCGAGGAGGGCACGGGGAGGATTTGGCGCCTCGAGCCCCGCACGGGGAGCGTTGGGTGGAACGTGGGAAGGGAATGCCGGAAATCCGGCAGGGATCGGCTGGAGCCCGGCAGCGCCGGGCTCCCGCTCTTCCTTCCAACCTTTGCCTGACCAAGTGCATCCTCCGAGAGGAGCGGGCTCTGCTGCTTCCTGCCCCTGCCAGGCAACAGGGAGACCCGTCCAGAGGGGCTCCTGTGTCTGACACCAGCAGGTCTCCCAGAGCCTCTGCCAGGGATGGAGTCTCTTGCCACAAGGAACTGTGATGCCGGGAAATTCCTCTCCTGCTCTTGCCATATCGCATTGGGAGAGAGCCCTGGACTTGGCAACACCTGCTTTTGCGGAAGGAGACGACCCCCGCACGTTGCTGCCCAGGATCCTGATGTGGCACTGCCGTAGCTTCCTGGGAGCCATGGCTTGGGCACCGGTGTCTCGGGGACAGTAGCTACTGGGCCACCTACTCCTGGCAATGCCTCACTGCAATGGCCTGGGCTCCCACTCTTCCTTGCAGCCTTTTCCTGCCCATGTGCACGTTCAGCCAGGAGTGGGATCTGCTGACAGCTGCAGCTCCAAGGGAGCAGGAACTCCTATCGACAGAGGCTTCTCCATCTGCAGGCCAGCAGGTCTCACCGACGCTCTGGGCACGATGAAGGCTGTGGCCAGAAGTAAGGCAGGTGTGCAGGAGATATTCCCTTTCTTGGTCGCCCACAGACGGAAAAATAGAGCACCCTGGAGATGGGAACAGCCAGCCTTGACTCTGGAGGACCTTGTCCAGAAGTGCGTGCAGCCTCTACCCCTGGGGCAGCATCCTGAGAGCCATGGATTGGGCACCGGTGACTCCAGGACTCTTTCAACTGTGCAACTTGCTGCTACCAATGCCTTCCCTCCAGCCTGAAGCTCGCTTATGGCTTCTATGCTTTTCCTTGCCAGTTGTATTCTCAGGCATGACACAAGTCTCCTGACAGCTGTGGCTCTAAGGGAGCCAAGAGAGAGCACTCCCTGTGGACAGGACTCCAGCAGATCTCCCAGAGGCTCTGCCAGGGACAAAGTGCCTTGCCAGAAAGTAATTGGGCTGAGGAGCCGAGCGACAAGGTCAGGGTGCTTTGGCGTTGGCCTTGTGGGCGATGGCAGGGACTTCAGGGCTGGGCATTTAAGCATTGTCCTCTTCTCTTTGGAGGTGCCAGGCCGGTAACCTTTGGAAAGAAATGAGCGTCCCAGGTGAGTCGGGGAGGTATCAGGGAGGAGCAGGGGTCCAGGGAAGTGTCAGAAAAGTGCTGGGACCCCCCTAAACCGATGAGAAAAGGGTGGGAGAGGTCAGAAGAGTGAGGAGGGCAGGGGGCTTTGGTTTCCTGTCCCCTCCTCTGTGTGACAGTGTAGTGTCCCCACCCTCGGGTCCGTGTCCCCAGCCCTGCACCCCCCTGGCTCTGCCGGGACATGGAGGAGGACCAGGTCGGCTCCATGGGCTGAGACTGATGGGCTGAGTGGGGGCTGAGGGGAGCCCCCCATGTCCCCAGGGTGCAGGGACTGGGGGGCCGTGTCTGCTGGGCCCCCCTAGCTTGGTGGGGGAGAGGAACTCGAGGGGGTGGTGCTGGGGCGGGATGATGCCACCCCTCGGGTCCCCAAGAGCTGCTCAGGGTGGGGAAACTGAGGTACAGATTGAGGGAGGAGGGGCTGGCGGGGCTTTTCTCGAGGCTATGGTTGGTTGCGGTGCCACCTCCATGCTGGGACCACCAAAAGAGGAAAGAAAGCCCTGAGCCTCTGTCTCTCAAGAGCAGGTGGTGCACAACTCGGCACTGCACAAAGAGCAAGAGTTGCCTGCGCAAATCACCTTTGAACTGGCAGGTATCTTTCCCCGTTCTGAATCTAACCTCAACTCTAACCTTAACCCTAACCCAAACCCTAAATCCTAACCTTAACTCTAACCCTAACCCTAACCCTAACTCTAACACTAACCCTAACCCTTGTTAACCCTAACCCTATCCCCT